CTCTGTGAACACAAATTAGTTAGCATAAATCAGTTAAATAACGAAAAATTAGGTGTCTATTTACTTGTGACCACTTAAGGGCAACAAGGTACCCGTTGGTCCAGCTAGGCTATCCCTCCACTATTATTGGTACTAAACTAAACTTTAAAATAAAAATAAAACACTGAAAATCAGCACTTATCCATATATTTATGATGCCTTCCTTTAAACTTAAATTCTCTTGAATTACCTACATCCATCACATCTGAAGACAAACTACCACCCCGTTAAAAAATATAAAAATAAAGCTACCTTATAATTGTGTACTCTAGTTCTATCAATATACCATTCTCACCAACAAATGTGTAAATAAATATGATGCATCAGCACTGTCAGTATCAGTTCCCTTAACATTCTTAAAGTTTTAAACACTTTAATCACATCCCCTCTAGCTGTTCTTTTTTTTTCAAAAGAAAAGTTTCTGGGATCTTAACCCATCCTTGCATGACAACCTTTTTATTCTAAGTATCATCCTTATACTAGTACTGAGTAGTAATAACACTAACAGCTCTCCCCTGAACCCCTTCCTACAAATACAATTCAAATTTCAATGTCATTCCTAAGGTAAGACTCTCAAGAATGAACCCAATACTTCAGATGTGGCCTAACCAATGATTTATACGATGAAATTACAAACTATTTAGAATTGTATTCAATATCTCTGTATATACAATGTATGGCAATCCTCTCACGACGAACATAATCTCTGCGGAATTACAATTAGGTGTTTCAACTTTCAAAGGTTCAGTTTCATGTTCAACCTTCTTCGGCCAAGGCAGCTCATATGGTTACTTCGTTAAAAACATTGTTAGCTTCTACTCCTTGGCCCTAAAGCTAAGCTTAATATAACCTTTAAAGATAAATAGTAATTAAAATTTCAATAACCATAAAATATTTTCAAGGTATGAGACTTGGTGAAGTTAGTCTCACTCTCGGTCCTACCCAGAAACTTGAAAATGAAATTTGCTATAAAACTCAAGTAAAAAGGATGGCATTGACTATTAGTTCTAAGACTTACCTTAATAAATATGCAATTTCTATGGGCCTACTGTAAAAAACACCACTTTCCAGAATAACTACGTTATTTTAAATTTAGAAACGGAAAATAAAAACTAGTATTAGTATGTTAAAACTAAACCCTACCTTACCCTAGTGAGAGAGTAAGAATAAGACTAGAGTATGAAATAGTACCCTCTCCCTGGTGCTAAAATTATGGTGAAAAAATATGTGTTTGTGTCGCCTTATCTGTATATATAATATTATGTATCAATCATATATTCTTAATAAACATAAGTATGCTTAAATTCAAAACTGTGATTGACTTGTTTTACAAACAGAAAGTCGTCTCTTATTTCCTATTTATATGCGTAATCAATATATTCGTCCAAATACTTGATCACCTAATAAAGATTAGTTAGTTCTTCTAGTTCCTATTGTTATATAAGGCGATGAAAGAGCTTCACTTTTCCTGTCACACAAAGCATTTTTGATCTTCTTTAGGATTATGTTCATTTCTTGCAAGTCTTCTTTAATTGTGTTACAGGTCTTCTTTGTACAGTCAAGAAATTTTCATTTCTCTCATCGTTTTTGTAGCAATATAAGATTTGATGCAGTGAGGGTGTTAACTCCATTCTCAACCCTCCTCCTTTTTCAAACAGACAGGGCCCGGCATGGCCAGGTGATTAGGGCGCTCGACTCGCAATCAGAGGGTCGCGGGTTCGAATCCCCGTCACACCGAACATGCTCGCCCTTTCAGCCGTGGGGGCGTTATAATGCGACGGTCAAGAGTTGGCAGTGGGTGGTGATGACTAGTTGCCTTCCCTCTAGTCTTACACTGCTAAATTAGGGACGGCTAGCACTGATAGCCCTCGTGTAGCTTTGCGCGAAATTAAAAAAAAAAACAAAAACAAACAGACATATTGTAAAAATATTGATTTCTGTTATAAGTATATTGACGCTAAAATTCAGGTTTCGAAAACCGCGGTGCGCAGATCAAAATAGTCCATTGTGTAACTTTGCGATCAACAACAAACAAACTTAAATATAGTTTCCTTTTGAGTTTACTTACTGATTATAAGTATTATTTATTACAAGTTAGAGCTTTTACAGTAAAGAAGAATATTGTTACGTCTCTGTTCGTTTGATAATTTCCCGTAACAATTCTTCCCGAGGAACTTCAGCGATACAAGCCCTTTCTTAAATAAAACTAGTTTATTCTTTCTCATTTTCAACTTTAGTCAATAACACTTAA